CGTGTAAAGCATTTAATCTACTTGCAGCCAATTCATTCGATCTTACTTCCCTTTGCTTCCTATTCCTAACAGAAACATTTTTGAGGTATCAGTTGTGCTACCTCCAAACCTTTGCTCATGCCATTCCACCTGCTTGAAATGCCTTTCCCCTTCCCCCTTCCCTTCTTCTCCCTTAACTCACCCAGCTTTGCCTATCTGGCTCATGCCCACAGGGAGGTGTTCCAGCCTACAGTGATCTTCCTCGGACATCCCCAATGACTGGGCCACTCATGGGGACTCTTGATCACATCCTGCCTTTCTTGTTTCTATATTTTCCCAAAGTTGCTCTGCTCTACTTTTGTAACTGGATAGTTAGTGAAAGGCCCTGATATCCTAGATTTTTTAAAAAGTCCCCTGATGCATTGAGTTGTGTACATAGTTCCTGCTTAAAAACCCCTGTTGAATTCAGCTGAAGTAAATTAATAGGCATTTACATCAGTTCACTTAAATGTTAACTCTCCATTTATCCAGCCACCACGAACAAATGTCAAAAACAGAAGTTTGTTCACAGTTCCTGACTGAATGGGGAGAAGACATTTAATGGAAATATGAAGCTCATGCATGGGTCTCCTGGAACTTGTAGATGAAACTAGGAGTTTGTGGCCAAGCCTACCAACCCATATCCCCCAACTGTGTCTTCTCCTTTGGTATATTGGTCATGAAATCAAGGAGTTGGAGGAGAGCACCCAGTCCACTCTTGTCTTTAAGTTGGATTGCATCCATCACTAGAAGAAACAGTGGACCGTGTGACATTCAGGTTTCTGTGCGCTCTCTCCTCTCATTGGTTGTCTTACCTAGCTCAGCGAACCATCCACACCCAGCTCGTTAGTCAAAGCACTGGCTAGCCCCGGCAGATGGTGCATCAAGAGTGCTCAGTACTCAAGTGTCCCAGGATGACTGTCAAGAGTGGTACAGCTGGGGGCACCTGGGTGGCTCAGTCGTTAAGCGTCTGCCTTCGGCTCAGGTCACGATCCCAGAGTCCTGGGATCGAGCCCCGCATCGGGCTCCCCGCTCCGCGGGAAGCCTGCTTCTCCCTCTCCCACTCCCCCTGCTGGTGTTCCCTCTCTCGCTGTGTCTCTCTCTGTCAAATAAATAAATAAAATCTTTAAAAAAAAAAAAAGTGGTACAGCTGTTCTCCCACATCTCCCACATCCTTTTCCAAGCACTCTAGCCCTGTAGCAATGTCAGACTGGGTGGCCCAAACTTGCGTGCAGCCAGAAATCAGTCAGTGGGAACATGATGTGCCCAGCTCTGCAGAGATCACACCCTGTAGCTTTCTATCCTTTGTCCTTTCAACAAACATAGATTGAGCATCTACTGTATATCAGGCACTGAGGAGTTCTTGGGGGATACAGGTATGAATGGAACATGAGCCCTGACCCAAGGAACTTAGCCTTGATGGGAGACAGGTATATAAATAAAAGCCTCCAATGCACCACAAGTGGAAGCCATGATTCCTAGGTTGTGCCACCGATGGTGATGGGAATTGGGATATGAGATCCAACTAGTAGTCACAAATGTGTATTGCTCTGACTCTCACTTACACAAGTCTAGGAGTTTCTGGGGTCTTCCATAAGGTTATGAAGATGCCTTGGCTGCCACAGTATAGCACAGGTCTTTCTCTGTCTGCCCATGCTCACTGTGGTCAGCTCAGCTCTCCTGGATCCTGTGGCACACAGATATGAATGCCCACCCAAGGCACCCTGCACTCCAGATACTGGCTGAAGGCACTATATATATGTCCCCTCCCAGTTCCGTGACAGGAGACATGCCACCTGCTCTGGCCCACTGCCCAAGCCCCATGATCATTCTCTACTCGAACCTGTTTCACAGGTCACTTCACTTGGTCCTGAGTCCACTTCACGACGGCTTGTACTCTGTTGACTATACTCCAGAGTTGTACTTTTTAAAGTGTAACTCAAACTACAGTGGCCAAATTTGGGCTGCCCTAGGGCATACAACACCTCTCTGAAAACTGGAAACATCACCCACTTCCTCCAGATGGACACAGCCCTGTGCAAGTGTGCATGCTTGGTAAGTGGAGGACAGGCTGGGTTTCAGCCCTAACTCACCCCCGTGGCTGGTTGTCCTCGGCAGGGCACAAAGTAGCCAAGTGACAATCCTAATGACATGGCCCCTGGCTATATTATTGCAACACATGGGTTGTCTTCACAGTTATTCGCTGGCCATTCATGGCTGTTTCCCAAAGTTTTGTCTGACTTGAACTCAAGGGTAGGTCTCTCAGGGCCTTCCATCTTGACCTTCTGGTCACACTGCAATCGACCCTCCCAAGGATCACGTCTCTACTGGGCACACCTGGCCTTTTCCAGAGATTGCTCCTGCTACCAGCCTGAGGGAGGGGATACCACTCTGTTCTGTACTCTGTCTACCAACTGCATGGGCCTGGTTCATTAATTCTTCATGGCGTGGCTGAGACAAAACGATAACATTTAACAAGGTTTTATTCCAGGGGCGCCTGGGTGGCTCAGTCTGTTAAGCGTCTGACTCTTGATTTCGGCTCAGGTCATGATCTCAGGGTCGTGGGATTGAGCCCTGCGTCGAGCCTCATGTCGGGCTCCACATTGGGCATGGAGCCTGCTAAGGATTCTCTCCCTCCCTCTCTTAAAAATCAAACAAACAAACAAACAAACAAACAAAAACCCAGGTTTTACATGAGATTCAAAGATATAGGAAGGAACAGAAGACAACAACACAGAGCTGTAGAGGTAGACAGATAGATGACAGATAGAGATATAGATAGAGAAAATGATACAGATACAGATATAGATTTCCCAGGAATGAATTTACAAATATTGTACAAACTAGTATCTGCCCTGGGGTTTCTTACCAGACCACTATCCTGCTGTTTTCATGGCTTACTTGCATGTGACAAGGGACAGCTCATCTCCACTGCCAGAAATACCCGGGGCACTTCCATCCTCAGACTCAGCACCCAACTGCACCATGGCTTCAGAGACGAGGAAGTTGTATCCCTTCATCTCAACCCCTTATTTCCTGCCCCGGAATTTATCTTTTGCCAGGATGATTGCCAGTTGGAATTTACACCCTTTAGGAGAACCACAGCCCCATGTGCAAGAGGGTGGCATGGCTACAACAAGATAACCACACAAAGAAGTGACATCAATATATTTTTCAAAGTTTGGTCTCAAAAAGTCTAAGGATACAGATTCACCCAGGGCTTTACTTACAGAGATTTCCGTGAAACCAGGCTTTAAATTGCTGATGTGCTGCCACTATCGTCTCTCTTGACAGACCCCAAGAAAACTGAGCTACAGGAGAGTCACTGTGCCGATCTTCAGACAGAGATAATGTAGCCCCGTGGGTTCTGAATGGGAAATGACACGCAAAGTTTTGGAGCTCAAAAAAAGTGACTTTTGGCTCACTGGAATTATGTATTACGTCATATAGTGGATGGATGGTAGATTTTGAGGGACTCTGGCAGGTGAACAACGTGGGTTAAGAAAGGGCTATGTGTGTAAAACAAATAAGCAATCTCTGAATACATATAAAAATCCTTTCTTTTTTCTACTCTCAAGGATTCCTAAGATGCTTCAGTACAATAGGAACTTCAAAGTGATGCCAAGGTCCTACGGTTTCTCAGATGAGTTGTACAATCGTGCTAGGAAACTTCAAGTCTATTATTCACAGAAGTGATAGACAGCCTGTCTTTGGATGCAAAGACCTGGGTCTGACCCTGGAGTCAGCTGCTTACTACCTCTATGGTCTTGGTGATAAAGGTAATTCTATCAGGACTCACAAAATGGAGGCCGCCGCAGTGGCCTGGCCACCCCACAGATTGAAACCTGAGTCAGTCACACTTAAGGGAAATGCATCACTGTCAAAGAAACCTACCATACACCGGTCACAACCCTCCAACTCAGTGTTAGCTGAACTTTGCCTAGAAAATAGGAACTTTTCGCCTTAGAAGGAAGTCCCTGACCTCCTGGCCAATCATGCTGTTTCTGCTTTACTGCTTCTTATGCTCTGAACAATCTGCTCTTGCCCAAATTCCCTTGGGAAGAGTGTTTTACTGCTTGAGAAGCACTGTACTCCCCCAGTCTGTGGATCATTTTCCTTTGAATAAAGGACATCAAACTCATTATTGTTTTATTTTTGTCATTTGATATTGGGACAACCATTTAGCCTCTCCAGATTCTAGTTTCCTTGCCTGTAGCATGGACATGAGAATTCTTTGGTCCACGAGTTCACAGGGTATTGGCAACATTAAATAAGATACTATGTGTAGGACCTGACAAGTTGTAAATGCTAATGAATGGTTACATCTTATGAGCTCATTTGTACTGTAAGTTCCTAAATCTTCAGGTACAAATAAAATACGATGAAATAAATATGTATTTTTACATGTGAGCATTTTCATTTGACGCGATTGAAGCAATTCTTGGGGAGTTCGTGACCTTGATCTATTTATTTATTGTATATGAAGAGACATGTGGCAGGGGCCCTTCACGTAACTCCCTCCCACGGCTGTCCCCGTAAGTGGTTACGAGTCTTAAATGGGTGGCACTGGGGTTCACCGTGAAGTACCAAGATCATTCCATCACACCTTCTGAAGTTACTTTCACCAACAAAGGCTGGCTTTGGGATTTTCCCTATAAAAGCTAATTCTCATCTTCCTTAGAATTCTTAAATAGCTCAGCAGGTATTTGTGATCTGGTATAAACAAGGAAACCATTTGCTTCGGAAGAAATAAATTTCCTTTAAGTGCGTACACCTTCACAAAACCCAGCCATTGCTCTCAGCACTTTTTCCCAGCATTTGGGGGGCCCATCTACCTCGTCAAATGCTACACAAAAGACTTTTTTTTCTGGAAACAACTTCCAGCAAGGGATTAGCACCAGTTCTGAGATTCCATTTGTCTTGTTTACATTCCTTGTGCAATTTCAGAACACTGTGTTCCCTTTCTTGTAATTGCACAACAAAGGCCCTGCCACACAGCACTGGAGACTCGTCCCACTCAGCGCCAGGATTTCCTTCAGGCTGGTATTCTTTGCAGACGGCTCTGGGACCTCCAGGTGGGCTGGCTCAGGGAAGAGAACATGGGCTTCAGAGACAGTCCGATAAACCTGGGCTCAAGGTCTCTGGCTGCATTTCGTGATGAACTTGATTAATCTGACTCTGGGGCTTTTTTTTTTTTTTTTCTTCTGTAAAATGGAAACAGTAAAATTGCAGTCTTTGTGGGATCATTGTGAAGATGGACTTAAGACAAGACGTGTAGATCCTTCAGCACAGTGCCGGACAATCTTAAGTACTCCAATAAATGAAGTCATTATTTTAATTACGGTGCTCAGAGACTGTGCAGCGTTCTTTTCTTCATTGTGATCTCCAACTCCTAAAGGCTCTGCCTTTGCTTAAAAGTCTCCCAAGAAACACGCACAAATGTTCCACCAGAGGAGGTGCTAAGTGATAGGAGTCTTGGCTTTCATAGCTGTTTTTTAGAATATTCCATGGCTTGGCCAAAAAGGCTGTCTTGGTCACTCTTTGAATCAGTGTTGCTCTCGTAACATCTCTAGAGACAGAGGGACACCCGACTGTTGATGGTGAAGAAGCGGGTATGTGAAGGGAAGAGAAGTGGGCCCTGTTATGATGATGACAGGAACACAGTGACCTGAAACAGCTGCTGTGTCTCTCACCCTTTGCGTGCTTGAAGAGGAGAGGGTGTGGCCGCCGATCATAGGCTATTGAATCCATTGTCATCAAACTTCCTGTATGTGGGGGTTACTCTATCAGGATGAAGGCCCCAGGCTGGCCCCGAGCAGTCTGAGAGGCCTTCTGTGGGTGAGTCTTGCAAGGGAAGGATGAACGGGTGGGTGTTTGCCTTATGTGTGCTAAGCATTTGCTCTTGGCAGCTGGTGATAAGCACCTCATGGTGTGTTCATGGTACTCATCACATAGCATGGTGGAAGGGGAGCTCATTTTAGAGTCACGCAGTTCTAGACTTGAATCTCAGCTCACTCACTCATTTACTTTGAACAACCTACTTAACCTTGCTGAGCCACCTCGTTTTAAAACAAAACCAGTAATGCCACTTTACAGAGTAGTTGTTACTGGTATAGATAAAAAGCTTGTACTATACAGTGCCCAGTATAATAAGATCACAATAAATGGTGCTTTGCATGGCCATTACTTAAAAATAATCTAGATCTCTATAGAAGGAGGGTGATGGGTCCACAGAGCAGGCCAATTTATTATGCAAATGAGCAGGTTTTTACATGGGCCTGTTTGTCCTGGGCATTGTGTCATTAGTGGCTGCTTGCAGAAGAATGAGGGCAGCTAGAATTTATTACTAGGTGGGATCCTGGCTGGGGCCTAGTTCTAGTCCCAAGATAGCAAAGCTTTCTTGACGCTTGGTGCTGGCTTCCCAAAGTTGGCCTGTAGGCACCAAACATGCCAATGTGTCCATCTGTCATTGAGGGTGGAAGGAACACTCTCCTTTTTCATAAAGTCCTCACACATATGGGAGAACCCCTCGGGTGGATGAAACCTGGAAACCTGAAGGGCCATAGCACCTCTGTGCTATGAGTGCGAGCTGGGCCAACACAACCTCGCCCATTTGTGCCACGTTGTCACGGGAAGGAACATCTCCCAGCTCCATATCACTGCTCCAAACTAAATACAGTGCCGGCCAAGACAGCAAAGCATGGATTTAGTGGGACTGGGCTTGGTCTGATCATCTATGGCACTACCCCAGAGGCATGGGGATGGATAGCATCCATAGTGGAAATGAGATGGTTGGCAGAAGTGTTGGCTGTTCACCAAAGAACTGTGCTCCCTTCTGTGTTGCTGGGGACCGGATGTTCAGCCAGGGATAACATTGCCCAGGAACACTTACATCTTATTTGGGCCATGTGACGAGTTCTGGCCATTAGAATGTGGCCAGAAGGGATGTAACCACTTCCAGATTTGGCCTCTAGAAACTTGATTCTTTGTCTCCAAATCCTGTAGGTCGGTTGGATGTCAGTGTTGTGGGTAGCACTGTGGTCCATGCGCTGAGGACTCTCATGCATTTGCTCTTCCAGCTGGGGTCTCTACGGGACTGTGCAGAGTGGAGTCTTACGTCAATTGGACACCACATGAGGGGGAAATAAATTACATAAGTAAAATTTTATATTTTATATAAATTAATACTACAGTTTTGCCACTGAATTTTGGGGGTTTGTGTGTCATAGCAGCCAGCACCATCTTAACTAATTCAAGATGATTTATGGGGTTTTTTTTTTTTGTAAGATTTGTCTATTTGAGAGAGAGAGAGCATGTGGGCAGGTGCAGAAGGAGAGGGAGAGAGAGTCTTAAACAGACTCCGCACTAGGCATGGAGCCCGATGCAAGGGTCGATTTCACGACCCTGAGATTCAACTAAGAGTCGGACACTTAATTGACTATGCCACCCAGGCGCCCCCATAAGATGATTTGTAATGTCAGCACAGGTATGCTGGAGATTTGTCTATTTAGTGATCAGATAATTGAGGGTGTTGGGTAGGTGATTACACTAAGAAACACGTATGTACCTTAAACCAATACTCAGTTTGTGTTTACAACTTTTAGGATAAGAAGGAAGCCTGATATTTAAAATGTAAGTCTGGAGCCTTGAATGTTGAGTAGATTTATAATGCATAATAAACCACAGCTAATAGGGCAGGAAACATCCATTTAGTACAAATTTCAAAAAATTCTTTCTTGGAATTTCTTTATCCAAACGAACAGTTCTGGAGTTTCATGCTAAGTAATTACTGCTTGATTGATTAATTTAATTGGGGAATAACATCTGAGAACTTTAGAGTCCTGTCTTGACCTGTGCAGAATTATTCAGTTGTCTTAAGCAAAGAAAAAATAATAGTCCAAATAATAATTTCTTGGATTCCTAAATGTCTTAACAAAATCGATCGACAACTACTTAACTGTCAAGACAACATTACAAAGCTTACTGACTTTTGTTTTTCTTTTCAACCTTTCCCGGTAAAAGGACAGGGTCCCCTGTGAGGACAGCTCACTTTCACTTCAGTAACTTTGCTGGGGATTATTCTTCTCTCCTTTATGGGCCTGTCACAGAGACTCCCAGGACTGGGAAGTTTGCCCAGTTCCTAACAGCCACATAGGGCAAAACTCACCGGAAGTGTGCACTTCCCTTTTCTTCCCAGCAACAATTACTTCGTCCAATCCCCAGGAAGTCCTGTGCACTGTCAGCTGTGCGGGTGTGTGTGTGTGTGTGTGTGTGTGTGTGTGTCACCCACAATGTGACATAAAAAAGACATATATAAAAAGCAAAAGAAAGGACTTTTCTCGAGACTGCCTAGAAATTCCTAACCTGTCTGAGATGCTTCCTTTGCTGCTTTCTCCCCACAGGACCACTCCTGCATAAGCTGGGTGATGGTCTTCCCTAGAGCAGGGAGGCAGTTCACCCCAGGGGGATGATGGGGAGGGATTTGTGCTTATTTTCAGCAGACTGTAGGCACCCACATTTTACTCACTTTTCTCTTCTAGAAAAGTGATATACTCTCCCCAAATATTTTTTCTTGCTTTAAGTAAAATAAGTGTCTTAGAATTGATTCGCATCATGTTTTTCTCTCACCCTGTACTGTGTCTGAGACTCTGGAGAAGCCTCTGACTGTCCTCTAATGTTCCTGCGTGTTAGTCGACCAGATAGCATAATGGCTGTAAGGAATGACTCTGATTCAGGAATACTCCCAAACAGTAAGTTCAGTGAAAATACATATACAGCTCATACTGGGTACTCCAGTTACTGTTGCTACAGAAGAACTTACCCCCAAAGTTTAGTGGCTTAAAACAATGTTCTTATTATGCTCATGGATCCTGGGGCTTTGGAATTGAGACAGCAGGAATGACTGCTCCATAACATCTGGGGCCTAGACAGTTGGGGGTGACATGAAATTGGGGGACAAAATCATCTAAAGACTCCTCTACTCACATATCCGGTGTCTGATTTGGGGGCATTCGAAGATGAGCACTGTTGACTGAGCATCCATCCAGGGCCTCTCCATGTGGCGTGGTTTCCACACAGCATGGTGGCCTCAGGGTAGTTGGACATCTAACCTGGAAGCTCAGGACTCAAAGTATAAGTGCTTCAGCAGCAAGACAAAAGCTCAGGGAATGGCCTTTGTGACCTGGAAGTCATGTGGCATCATTTCCACTGCATCCCGTTGGTTGCAATCAAGCCACAACCTTGCCCAGATTCAAAGGAAAGAGAATTAGACTCTACATCTTGACAGGTTAGTGGCAAGGATCTGGAAGTGCCTGCATAGAAGATGTTGTGATCTTTTCATGTTTGGAAAATACCATCAGCCACAGTGGAATCTGCTTTTAGAGGTTGTGTGGGGATTTGTGTTGCAGAATTTGAAGCCACACGTGGTCAGTGCTCTGCATTTTGTAAACAAAGTGCTCTGGGGGTCCAGGAAGGGAAGAATCTTGACTTATTGAGATGAGCCTGGTTGCCTTTTCGCTAAGCCTGGAAAGACATGGCAGACAAGAGGGGACAGGCAGCACTTTTAAATATAGGGAGGTGGGACGTACAGGGAATTGTGACCATATCATGCGACTACGGTATTGGAGAGGGGTTCAGGGGCAGGTGGAGACAAACTTGAAATGTCGATGGAACCCAGATTCATTTGAGCATTTGGCTGACAAAGCAAAAGACCAGGGAAGTTGCTTCTATCAGCTCCTCCTGCCCTCCCCCTCCCTCCAAGAGTCTCTACATCTTAACATTTTACTTGTATCACTTTAAATAAAATGTGCACTCCTTTGCTCTTTGGATATATTTAGGCATAAACATACTTAGATATCTTTTGGGTTCTCATTTTTATACCATTACATCTTTGCACACTTTATCTTGGCCCCTTCCTACCGCTTCAGTTTTCCCCAAGACCTTACTCACAATGTGAAGAGAATGGACCCACTTTGGCTCTCTGATTCCCTGGTCGTCTGCTCCTTTAATTGCAGCTCTCTCCTTGCTCTGTAAAACTGCACTTGATCCTGTATGGCACTTATTTCTATTTTTAGTTTAGTTTTATGTGTTATTCATGTTTTTAAAAAGGATGCTGACCAGTCATCTTGAACACTTTGCAAGGCAAATTTATTGAAAATTGGGGCAATCGTTAATTATCTTTGTGTCCTACCTAGCAAGATGGTAAGATGCCATTGTTGGCTCAACACAACCCATACCTGGAAGTACACCTGGGTGTTATTCAAGAGTCAGGAATCCAGAGTCAGGATGGAAAGTTAATTTAAAAATACCCTCTTGGGATGCCTGGGTGGCTCCGTCAGTTGAGCATCTGCCTTCGGCTCAGGTCATGATCCCACAGTCCCGGGACCAAGCCCCACATCGGGCTCCATGCTCGGCAGGGAGTCTGCTTCTCCCTCTCCCTCTGCCCCTGCTCTCTCTCTCTCTCCCTCTCTCTCGTTCTCTCTCTCACACACACATGCTCTCTCTCTCTCTAATAAATAAATAAAATCTTTAAAAAAATAAAAATACTCTCTGACTATCTGAACTGGGCAACTGCTGTGGGGAATAAAAAGACAAAACAGCAGTCTCCTCAATAAAGTATGAACACACAGAAGGGTAAATAACAGAGCGGTAACAGAATAATGGCCCCCGTAAAATGTCCACATCCTAGTCCTTGGGAACTATGAGTATGTTTCTTTACGTGACAAAAGGGACTTTACAGAGATGACTAAATCAAAGCTCTGAGATGGGAAGTTATCCTGGATTATCTAGTTGGGCTCAATGTAATCACATGAGTCCTTTAAGTGAAAGAGGGAGGAAAG